AATAGCGCCAGTTCCGTAATTGTGTCCTGTGTCTGTAATTTCACATGATGGGCAACATAAGAGTAGATTTTTATTTTTATGACGACTTTAGGCCAACATGGAGCCAAGATGACGTACAGGCTCCCGATTAAGCACTCTCGTTGGGTCATAGACACATCAAGCTTTGCATTGGCTGTCTGGAAAGTCAATCCGACCCAGTTGATGTGGGAATCACCAGCCGAAGAGCCAGCCCCCAGTTCGACACATTATGGGCCTCTCGCGTAGATCGGCACAATCTAACCAGCAAAAAGTCATCAATGCACACCTCAAGTTTACATATATTCAGGCTTACTCATCGCCTTGTCGCTCGAGACGCCGTCTAGTCGGACTAGTGGTACAGAATCGAGTTCGTACCGAGTTCGCCTTGACTCTGCATTGTCCACCTCCGGCCTCGCTGCTGCCAGAAGAGGACCAGACCACAGGAAAAGGAGGCAGACTGATCCAATATACATTTTGTCTTTTAAGCCTGGAACAATTAGACCTTGTCGACCGTCCTACGATACTAGGGGGCCTGTATAAAAATGTCCTCTACAGCACGGTAACACAATCTTTATCATTGTCGAGCTTTTTAGCCATTTTTTCGCTACCCACAATTGCCTTATTGATCAGCATGTCCTGTATGCTGTCGGTTGGTGAGATGTTTTTGAGTCCAAAAGCCATTTTATCAGCTATTTATTGTGCCCCCCACCTCAATGACTTGACCAATTTCGTCGTCACGCCGACTGGAGTTGATTGCCGACTTTCAATCATCATACACAAAAGTTTTCTGGCCTACCTACGATGTCGGTACAACAAAACAGGTCAATTCTTAAGCATTATACCTTTCATCTGTGCATCTATTCGTCTATCCAAACATCCATTTTTACTTATTATATTGTTTTTTTCCTTTGCCTATCTATCTCCCGGCCATATCCATACATTTGTTCTGTCTTTGCTGATGCTTTTCATGCAAGTCCAATCTGTATTTTGAGCTAGTCTATCCGATATATAGTGTCATTACGAATTTTCGACCCCTTGAGTTGGCGGGCCAACATAGATGACGAAAAGTTACGATTTTGTTTACAAGATTGAGTGGAAGGGATTTGTAGATTAGAGGCCACGGAGGCCGAATAAGCCTTCGAGTAGATGTGACTGCTGGTCACATATGCATTTATGAATAAATAAACAAATA